GCTCTGCCTTCTGCTGCTCTGCCCGCCGAGCGCTGACAAGTTGGATCATGACTTGACAGCTCTCTGCCCTTCCACCTGATCACCGCACAGCTCCCACATCGCGCCAGCCAAGCTCCTGCGAAGATCCGGACACACAGCACGTGGGCAAATGCTCAGTTCTCTTGCATCCAGCCTGCCTTCCAACACAGCCTCCAGGAATATCCCGAGACAAAAAGCCAAGAGCTGTCTCTACGGAGACCATATTTAGCTCCTAAGCAAGTACTGGCCACACCATGAACTACCAGGAATCATCATCTATTATTCGAGTCTAAGAAAAAGCTGACCTACCATTGAACCACTCAAGCCATATTTGCTGGTCTGAGACTTTGAAGGGCAAGTTGCCAACCGCTTGGCAGTGGACCATATTAATCCATCACACATAATTTTCTTTGAGCCTATACAGCATTTTAAAATTCTAAATTAATTGCCAATATTTCAAAACCAGGAAATTGTATATAAAACCCAGATTTTGAACGTTCCTCCCCTCCAAATCTGAGAGGATCTAGTCAACCAATAATTGGCTGGAGTTAAATAGAAGCAGACTGGCCAGGCTCCAATTCCCCATCCTCACTATCTGCTGAATGTTCACTCAGCATTAGTAGGCAGTCACTGAGCACCTACTATGTGCCAGGTAATGTTTAACAGGCTTAGGATACCATAAAGGATAAACAAGACAAGAAACTATAAGTCCTATCTGCTAAGAAGGATTTTAAGGGGGTAACAGGACTTCCACTTCAGGGAAGGTGGAATAGACAGACTTTTCCCTATTCTTCCCACTAACTGCAAACAAGATCCCAGGCATCGTATCTAACACAAACGTAAGAAGACCCCAAAAGGTGGAGGGAAGAAGGCATACCAGCTAGGAACCTCGGGGCCCAGGAAATGACTTAGTGGTGCATTTCCTGAGTGTTCTTTTTCCTCATATATCCAAGAGCTGAAGAACCTGTCACCCCAAAAATACTAACAGGTACAAGAGAAAAAAACCCCACTCCAAGCCTGCTCTCTCTAGCAAAGGGCCAGGTGAGGGTCAGTCTAGCCATCAGAGGAGATCTGAAGGACAGCGCTGAGCCCGGAGAGTCCGGACAAGCACAGGAGCTGCACGCACAGAATGTCCCCTGGGTCACGGGCGGCAGACGGACAGGCAAGTGACCATCAGATCTGGCAACTCGGCGGCCACTCAAGACCTAGACAGGGAGGTGTCAGCACTGGAGAGGAGGGCCGACTGAATGGCTTGGGAAGAAAACGGGAGACGAGAAAGTAGATTTCGGGGCAACAACTTTCTCGATACATTTTGCTGGGAAGGGGAAAGAGGTACAGCGGGATCTCAGACCAAGTAAGTGTTTTCTCCCCTTCTTTTTTCAAGATAAGTGATACCAAGGAACATGTCTACATGCTGATGGAAATGATCCAGGAAAGAAGAAAATGTGCTTCCAAATGCATTTTTTTAAATGTTGGTATCATTAATCTACATTTACATGAGGAACATTATGTTTACTAGACTCCCCCCATCACCAAGTCCCACCCCCACAAGCCCCATTACAGTCACTGTCCATCAGCATAGTAAGCAAAATGCATTTTTAAATCAAATTCTGAGTGATACCTTCAGTTACATTTACTTTAGAGAAAAAAAGTCATCAGAAGTAAGAAATGTTGGGATTATATGGTATCCACATTAAGAAAATCAAAATCAATTTGGTTTCAGAATCTACATTAGCACCCTGACTTAAAAAACATATATACCACATAGACATGGATTTATCAAGTAATCTATGCGGAAAGGAGTAAGAATGTTTTAGCTTAATATATTTTCTGATGCATCTAAGGGAAAAAATAAATCACTATGGATTTTGCCAAGTGCATCTTTATCTTTTTCATGAATAAGAAATGAAACAAATGACAGTCATTACCTCCCTAGAGATTCTCATAATTTACAAAGAATATCCTTCTAGAAGTGTTTATCCACAGCCAGCCAGCCTGTTCAGTTAGTCATCACAGGGAAAATGTCCAGAGCCCTTATGACCACGCATCATTTTTCTGGTTAATGCATTAAAAGAGGAAGGGGAGAAAGTTACCCAAAAAAGCTGTGTTAAACATTCACACATTCCCTGCTGTTGCCAGGTCATATGACATAAAGAGCACTTGTACCTAAAGGCAAGAAGTAAATTTAATGTGAAGCCCACAGCTGTGATCACTGTCTAGTGTCATCACCGTATGGTTAGTTTCAGGAAAGATGAGACTGTTCCCTAGACATTCGTGGGATGGAAAATAAGACTCCTGGAAGTCCAGAAAGAGAGAATAAGGCGACACGCCCAGGGTTCAGATTAGAGCAAGCACTGGTGTGGTGGAGGGAGTTTCCTGCCCCAGCAATAACTACTCCAGAAAACGTGAAATAAACAATCAACACAAATCAGTGAGTGGTAACACTTATGAAATTACTCTAAGTTATACTTTTATTGGTCAAGCATCACGTTTAACAAGAAGCCACGTGTCATCTAAGTTATCTGTATTTATCTCCAATAACTCAAGCTGTATCCCTATGAGGTACAGTGTAAACCAACCTACTAAAAAAATCTTTCCAAGAGGAAAAAAAAGTAACCTGGGTTCCAGTCCCAAGTGCTGAAGGAAAAAATTAAATTCTGTTATTAGCTCTACTTAGACTCATCTCATTATAGTTTATTTCTTCCTCTCTCCTGTTGGTCTCCATAGACTGCCAAAATGATTCATAATCCCTGGGGTTTTACAGTTCTTGGAAAGTAATTTTCCCTCAGAGATTGGTTAAGGTATCAAGAAAGAAGGACCAGTTAACCAGGATATTATAAATTATTTTAACTTGCCTGTCGTTGAGAAAAATCTGTTTGTCATGGTCCTGGTTCCCTTATTTATAAAAGATCCACTTAATCACCTTTGTCTTCCTCTGAAATACTTTAAGTGAATTATAAATTTCAGAGCTGGTATACAGTCACACTTCTATGTACTTTATTGAGCTATGATGCACATACCACACAATTTACTCAGTAAAGTGTGCAGTTCAGTGCAGTGGTTTTTAGTATACTCACAGCGCTGTGCAACCATCACTACCATCAATTTGAGAACAGAGACACAGCTTCTAAATCCTCTAATCTATCATCAGGGAGATAACTAAGGTGTAGATGGGTTAGGTCACATTCCAAGGTCACAGATCTGGTCAGTGGCAGAGCCAGGCCTGGAACCGGGGAAATTGTTAAGCTTTGACATCATCTGGGACTCCCTGCCCTGGGAAAGTTGTATGTAAATTAAAACCTGCTGTTAAACTGTTGTCTGAGAACATCTGGGTTTTTTATTATTGTACTCCTTCTTACATTAACCTGGGTCTACTTTCTCTACCAAATCTGTTGCAGTGCAAGATTTCTTAGAAAGACTTCTAGAACAGATAAAAATATATCCATCCAGCACTGCGACCACAAACTGTGGTTTGTAAAGCTCAGAGAGCATCTGTCATGTGTTTCTTTTCAGACAAATACACAAAAGAGTTCAACTCGTTCAAAAAAGGCTAAATTGGACCCTCTCTCTGCTCGTTTCACTTTTAAAAGGCCGATTGTAAGTGGTTCAATCAAACCAACTCTTCAACAGCGTATTTCTGCAAAGGCCATAACTTCCCAATATTTCAATCATTCTCTCTGGTTAATGATCAGAAGCCAACTTGAATCACCCAAGGGCTTCTGTCTTGGTCATTTGAGATTTGCTATTTGAAATCCAAACCCAGTAAAATTCCCTGCCAGTGCTAAGGAAGCCAGTGCACCAAGCACGGCCGGAAATGAACGGGAAGCTGCCGTAACCTCAGTGCACGGCCTCGGGGCTGCACCAGGCCAGGGCGCCCATCAGCCTTCAGCTCCTCACGGTGCTTCTTGGCTACTCCCCCCTTTAAACACTGCCTGCCTCTGGGTTCTGAGTCCCGCCCACGTTCCACTAGTTCTTCCCTTGCTGTGCTCCGCGCCCCGTTAAAGTTTCATTTATTCAATAAATGTTTACTGAATGGCCACTGCTTATCAAGTACCGGACTAAACATTGTCCCTAAATGTGTGGGCTTACTAGAATCTGTATTAGGTCACTGTGCATTTTCTCACTTTCATATTTTAAATTTGCCATTTGGGCTGGAAATCCCAGTAAGTCTGCAGCTACAGTCTTGGCCTCACCCCCCCACATCCCCTCCTGAGGATAATGCGGTGACGTCTGAACGTTCCACAGGCCCCTCAACGCGCCCAGGGCCAGTGCTGAAGCCCCCATCGCCCCGTCACCCAACGGGCCCCTCCTCCGGGGCTCCACGCCCTGAATGGCATCACTGTCACCCAGGGTCCCCAGCAGGAAGAGGCTAGAAGACAAGAACCCTCTCATTTCAGCTGCTCTCCAGGGGCCAGGCCTGGGCAGAAGCAGGAGGCGACCTCCTCCCAGACGTGGGTTCTGAATGAAACCTGTCCCCTCCGGTTCTAGCGAACTGGGGGCCGCGAGGAGGGAGGGACCGAACAGACCTGGGGGCGCAGAGGGGGCCGCTGGCCGGAAGGGGCTGCGGTCTGCGGGCACCCGTTTGCCGGGCCGCACGCACGCGCGCGTCAGTTTCACGCCCCCGCCTGCCTCCAGCCCCCCGGGCTCGGGCCGCCGCCGCCCCGCGACCCCGCCTCGCGTTGAATTCTCGGGCGTGGAGGCGTGTCCACGCTGTTCGCGGACGCGTCTGCCTCGGCGTCGCCCCCCCGGGCGGGTCGCTCGCGGCGGGCGCGGACCCAGCTCCGGGCAGACCCGGGAGGCGGCCCTGGGCAGTCGGGTGCGGCCGCAGGCTCGGGGGGGGGGTGTGTGTGGCGGCGGCCGCCAGGCGACAGACGCGCCCGGGGCTCCCGCCCACCGGCGGGGACCGCGGCCCTCGTCCCAGCGCCGCGCCCCCGGGCCCCGGCGCCCGCTCCCCGACAGGAGCCTCCCCGCGCCGCCCCTACCTGGCTGGCTTTGTGGAACTGCTTCCTCAGCCCCGCCACCGACATCGCGCCGGCGTCGGCGGGGCGGGGGTCTCCGGGCGCGCCGCCCCGCGGAGGCGAGCGCAGGGGCAGCGGGCGCCGGGCCGGTTCCCGCGCTGGGCTCGGCCGCGCAGCCTCCCACGGCCGCGGCCCGGCACAGCCGCTGTCACCTCGCACAAGCGCGCGCGCGGACGGCAACACCGCGCTCCGGGGCCGCCGCGCCGCCCATTGGCCGGGCCGCGGCGGTATGCAAATGAGGCCCGGCCGCCCACGCCCGTCGTTGCGTGGAGACCGCGGGCTGCGAGGCGAGGGCGGGGACGCAGGGCGTGGGGGTGGCACGGGCTTCGGGGTCGCCGAGGCGAGAGGGGAGGCTTCAAGGTCCCGACGGCGCGGGGACGCGGGCCGCGGCAGCGCGAGCCGCAGGGTCCCTGTCCGAGCCTCCGGGACTTGGTGCCGAACCTGCTTTTGCGCACAGGCCGCGTCGCCTCCCTCCGGTGCATCGCGCCTTAGGAAAGGGGCGACCCCAAGCTGCCCCCCGCCCCCCGCCAGGGCAGCGAGACGCAGCCGGGCAGGGGACCCCCGCCGTAGGAGGCGGCGCTCTGCGGGGCTCCGGGTACACCCTGCCCGAACCCTTGGGTGCTCTGGGCGCCTGTCACCGGGCTGTTTACCGTCAATTCTGTGCCCGCCTCCGCAGGGCGTCGAGCCCACTGGAGACCGCATCCAGAGCGTCCTTCCCAGGAGCCTCAAACCGCGCGCCCCGCGCTCGGGGGGCTCACAGGACCGGGACCTGCTCCCGTCACCAGCTGCGCCCCTACAGAGCTCCAGGGCCTTTTCGCACGGAGGCCCCAGCGCTGCCCCCAACAGGTGCGCGTCTGCGCTGAGCCTGGCCTCCAAGGCCCCAGGCCCTCCAGTGCGCGCCCAGCCGCGCCAGGCACGTTCTTCCCGCTCCAGGAACTACCAGAAAGGTGCTTCTCCTCCTGGGCGTTCAAGTGATCCCACCTGGGATCAGTGACCAGGCGGCCCACCTGGTTTGCCCCGACACGCCGGTTTATGCCTGTGCCCTGGTGCCCACCCCGGGCGCCCTGCATTTCTCCAGGACAAAACTCGCGCAGCCTCTCCTTTACTGTTATAGCTCCCACCTCCTCACCCCTGACCTCACCCTGGTGAGCACTGGGCCAGCAGCTACACCACCTGTGCCTCAGTTTCCTCACCTTCTCTTGGAAGGTATGGACAGGGGTGGACAGGCGCATGCTTCCTCTAATATGGGAGAAAATTAATGAACTTAGTGGAGGAGATAAAGGTGGCCATCCAGAGGGTTAATTAGTATGACGGGTGAGTGCCGTGGGCCTCACTGGCCTCCATAGGACTGACACCTGCCTAGACAGGTAACTCGGTGTGAGGGTGGTGACAGCCAGGCCAGAATAACATAGCAAGGTGGCCTGTCCGCACGACAGGATGAATCCCACTCATTAGCAGACTCCACCCCAGGGGAAGGGCTACAGTAGGGCAGAGGCAGCTGGGGTCCGGCATTGCAGGGTGGCAGGGGGGACCTTGTTGGAGGTCCCCCAGGGGGCACCCCAGGGAGGGCTGTCGGGTGCCATGTGCCTTTCTTCTCTGTCGCCAAGAGTTACTCGCATAGGTCTGAAGAAACTTCTCCCTAAACCAATCTGGTCCTGTGCCCTTTGAGAAGGGGATGGTTTTTTTTTTTTAACATTTGGCATTTCTTCCATGGTTAATAGGATATTAAAGTTTCCTACTTCAGTGCATTTTGGCAATTTGTCTTTTCACTTAATCAAATGTAGAGTTGTGTGTCATATTCTCATAATTCTTATACTTAAGAATTTCCATATGCACTTTTTCCTTTGTAAAAGTATTTGTGAGTTTGCTCTAGTTTTTCAGTCATTAGGCTCATTAGAGGTTGGCCAGTTTTATCCGTCTTTTAAAACACTTCTTAGGTTTACTCATCATTGCTACAGATTATTTTCTATTTCTTTATTATACATTCCTTCCTGTTTTGTTCAAGGGATGGAGTTATTGACAACAGATACTGATCCTTGTTAATGTAAGCTGGAAAAGAATGTATTGGAAAGGATATCAGGCAGCCCAGAGACTCAGAGGTGTGTAGGGCACCAGGTGAGAGTGCACAGGAACTAGGAACCTCAGTGGTCAGGTCTCCAGCAAGACTGGGGCAGCTGGTGGGAAATCCTGGCTAAAACAGAATGCAAACTAAGCTGTTGCCTGCTTCCTGTAGAATCAGGTGCTCACTCCAGATTCAAAGTTCCAGGGCACAGCGTCCAACTGGCTGAGTCTAGATGATATGCCCAGTTCTAAGCATCTAAGGTCTACACCATGGTGGATTCCCTTATACAGGGAGAAGTTTCAGATGCTCGACTGCCAAAAAGTTTATCTAAACACAATAGCCATACAAAAGCCCACTAATGTTTATTTGGGGATTCCTTAATCTCTTCAGCTGAATATGTGGTTTCTTTATTTTTTCTTATTTTATAATTGACACATATAAAACTATGAATTTTCCTCTTGAGTATAGCTTTGGCTTCACACCTTTCATTATGCAATATAGTTCTTCCACTGATTTTCTAAATAAACTTGTAATTGCAGTTTTAATTTTCTCTTTGATCCACGTTTTTCAGGACAATTTAAAAAAATATTTTCTAGGTGGTTCAATTTGTTTTATTCATTTTATATTAAGTTTGATGGTAGTGGTACTATTGTCAAATATTAGGTCTGAAGTGTTTTACATAGTCTATTATGTTACATTTTGCAGATGTACTATAGAAGTTTGAAATAATATATATTCTTAGTTTCTAGAGTACAGGTCAGTTTATGGCAGAGGCATGGGTTCCACTGAAGTTGCTAGTTCAGAAGATTTCAAACTAAACACTAGCTGGAGCCACGTTGGCCAGTTTGAGGTCTGCTTTTTATATGGCCATTAGTCCTCCAGTGACTCTCCAATCTGTTTGGGGGAGGAGTATACACATGTCTTAGGCTATTCAACAGAATTGTCTACATGGGACGAAACCAATGGCAGAGTCTTGAAACACAGGCGAGCATCTCTCTGAAGGATCTGCAGTGGTCTGCAGGTTGATGACCAGAAGGATGCTGTGGCTGTCCGGCACTCTGGGCAGATGGCATGTGCTGGTGGAGGAGTGGGTGCTCCCTGCTCCCCCCCTTTGCAGTCCTCGGTTCTCACCTCCTCTTCCCCTCCCCCGGTGGCGGAGTGCTATGCTCGTGTGCACTGACATCTCTCCGGCCTCTGCTTGGCCAGCTTTCAGATCTAGTATCTGCAGTCCTTGGGTCTGATCCTGTAGGGAGTGACTCACATCTCTGTGTGGTGGAAGCAGAAGAACCCGGGGGAGGGGAGGGAGAGCAAAGCATGCCAGTTAATGTCTCAAAATGTTTTCCCATCATGTATCTCATAAGTCAAGTCTTCTGAGCTTATCATTCAAATGCTTTGTATTCTGATATTTCTGCTTATCGAAGACTGACAGAAGTAATCTGCAGTCTCTTGCTACAGTTATGATTGTGTCTGTTGTGCCTTACATTTGGGAGTTCAGCTTTAAACATTTTAGTGCTGTGGTATTCTGCCAAGCAGAATATGTTTACAACTGTCATATTTTCTTTGTGGACTGGAATTTTATCCATAGAAAATAACATCGTGTCCTATTTATGACTTTTTGCTTCTACTTTGTTACATACCAATTTTTGTATCCCTACTTTTTGTTTGCATGTGCTTCATATGTCTTAATTGGTCCTTTATTTTTTTTCTCTTTTCCAGCTTTATTGAGATATAATTGACATAAACATTGTGTAAGAGTAAAGTGTACAACCTGGTGATTTGATACATGTATATATTGCTAAACAATTATCACGTTAAGACTAGTTAACACTTTCATCACTTCACACAATTACTTTTGTTTAATGGTGAGAAGATAGAAGATCAATTCTCTTAGCAACTTTAAAATAGGTCCTTTATTTTGACGTTTTATTTTGTTCTAGACATGCACTCCTAGAAACAAGAAAAAATTTTATTCTGTGTGTGAACCAAAAATAAGTCTTTGCCTTTTCCTACACATATTTAAAACATTCACATTTATTATGAAAAGGATGTATTTGGTCTTAGTTTTGTCATTTTATGGCATGTTGTCTGAGGATTTTCCCTCCTTCAAACAGTTCCTTCTATCACCACTACCCATTACTCAGGTTTTCTTTGCTTTCTCTTCCCCTTTGTTTTTGGAAATTATACACCCAATTTTTACTCAACTGCTAGTTACCATCATTCTATAAAATTTTTAGACTTATATTCTCTGTCAACATCAATAATTAAACATTGTACAGAAGACACAGTGTGACTAGAATGAACTGTGAGTCTAGGGCCACCTCGTCACCTCCTCCAAGATGACCTCCTGCTCCGGCCCCAGCCATCTGAGAGGCCTCCAGCAGAGACCAGAGTGGGTCCCGTTTCCTTTGTCCAGAACAGTGTATGAACCATTTTGAGACACGGGTGAAGGGTGTTCTAAGTCAGGGAGGTAAAGATGGAGAGATGATTTAAACAGAAATTTGGAGATAAAAGAATAGTGAAATTATTTTTAAAATAAAGCTTTTCATAACTATGTGTTTCCATTATACAATAACACTTAAAATTTGGAAACTAATTAAAAAGTAGAAAGAGAAAAATTACCTTTGGAATCGCCATTGAAACAACTGCTCTTAATATTTTGGCATGTTTTTCTTTTTCCTATGCAAAACTTAAACATAGTAATGCCCTGACTATACAAACAACTTTGTCTTCTTTGTTCTCTTAATGACACAGCATTTTCTTTACTGTCTAGTCTTCACATATATCATTTTCATGACAATTTAATAACTAATTACAGAGACATATCAAATTATATTTGATTATTTTCTATGATTACACATTTAAAGGTTTTTCCCCAAATTTTTCATGATTTAAATAATGCTGCATTAAACATCCTTTTCCATATTGGGATTTTTTTCTGTATTTCAGAATAGTTGCATAAAATGAATCCCCAGATGTAAAATTAGTCATCAAAGATTTGAACAGTTCAAAATACAAATTGGTAGACATGGAGCATAGTTAATAATTGTTCCCATGATCTATACTCATTAAAGAGTCTTACTTTAAAATGGGGATGGGGGAGACAAAGAC